AGATTTCATGCATTCTTTATGTTAAGGCCTATCCTCTCAAGTTCGTGTCCTCACATGTCCCTCGGTGTGAGTTCACCCACTGGAGACCGGTTAGCCTATCGAGTGTCACTCCCTTTCCCCCAGGGTTTCAATTTTGCGCAGTCTGGTCCCCGATGCCCCATGTGGCCCACCCAAACTGCCTTTTACCCACCCATTTGCCTGGACCCCTGAGCCTCACCTTGAGGGTTCCAGACTTCTGCAGCAGGTTCTACATTCCTCTGGTGGCTCTCTGACTGGCTTCACTAATATCTATCCACCTATAGAGATGCACTGCCTCTCTTAGCTCTCGGCCTCTGCTTCAGTAAATCCTCTCAAAAGTTTGCTGCCTCTCTAACCCTTCTGTGAGTAGTGTAAGGGGTGATCTGATTTAATAGAAGTACTTAAGGTGGAAATAAATGTCTGCTCTTGCCAAAGCGTGTGCTGTCAGAGGAAATCGGGATTACCTGTTAAATTACAGCCAGGAAAAGCAGCCAGCGTGTGAACCTATTGTAATTCAATACATTCTGATGCTGTGGCAAGATTCAAACCTGTGTTTCTGACCACACGCTCATGATACTAGCTGATGAAGGAAAGAGGCTTGTTTGGGTTTGAAGTTCTGGAGGTCCAAGAACATGGTATTGTTAAGGAAAAAGTTATATTCCTATAACTGTGTTCTTTTTTTGTCTTTTTTTGAGACAGGGTCTCCCTGTAGCCCCAGCTGGCCTGGAACTCACTATGTAGACCAGGCTGACCTTGAATTCACAGAGATCTGCCTGCCTCTGCCTCCCAAGTGACAAAGTGTATTCTTTTTTTCCCCCCCTGGGTAAAGTAGCTTTATTAGAGAGCAAGGATCACACAGGACTTAGGAGTTAGCATGGGGCCCTTCTTCTTGCCAAAGGTGGGCACTACATTGACAAAGCGCCAGTTATGCTGCATCTGCTGCTTGGACCCCCTGTCTTCCTCCTCCTTCTCTTCCTCTTCTTCTCCTCCTCCTCTTCCTCCTCCTCTTCCTCCACCTCCTCCTCTTCCTCTTCCTCTTCTCCTCCTCCTCCTTCTCTTCCTTCTCCTCTCCTCCTCCTCCCCTTCCTCCTCTTCTTCCTCCTGTTTGGCCACCTTGGGAGTTTGACCTCTCACTATTCCAACAAGGGCCAGGGAACCATGGACTTTACCTCCCAGCATGTGACCAGCTACCTCCAGAGTGTTCAGAGCTTCCACCCCACACTGGCCTAGGGTGGCCTCAGCCTACAGCAGCGAGCCAGCCAGAAGCATGACTTGATCTGGGCCGATGCCCTCCAGTGAGGTCACACGAGCCTTGATCTGGGCCATAGTGGGTGTGCAGAGGGTGTGCATAGTGGGTGTGCAGACAGCAGCTTTGTGGCATCAGCTGACAAAGCACCGGTTATGCTGCATCCACCTCTTGGATCCCCTGTCTTCCTCCTCTTCCTTCTCTCCTCCTCCTCTTCCTCCTCTTCCTCCTCCTCTTCTCTGAAGGTCGGGTCCTGTGGGGGGCAATCCCACAACCCCATGACAGTTTGTCACTTGCCCTACCTTTAAAACTTTTCCTCAGCAGTTTTTAGATTTTTCTCCTTTGTGGGGTGAGTGGGGCCTCATCACACAGAACAAGTGGGGGAGGGGGCCTCATCGCACACCCCAAGCGGGGGAGGGACCCTCATCATGCAAGCCAAGTGGGGGAAGGGGCCTCATCACACACGCCAAGTTGGGGAGGGGGCCCTCATTATACCCACCCAGTGGGGGGAGGGGCCCTCATCACACACCCCAAGTTGGGGAGGGGCCCTCATCATGCACACCAAGTGGGGGAGGGGACCTCATCACACAGGCCTTGGCCCATCCCCTTTGTCCTGTTGATCTCAGGAACGTTTCTTTGATTTTTGCAGGTCATGACTGTTCATGAGTGGACAAGCCCATGGCTGCTGCTCTGTCCTTGCTCTTCCTGAGCACCACTGCAGCTCTGGATATGTCCTTAGACTGCAGATTGCGATGCCAGCAGTGGTAAGCCAGACTTTATTTCTGGTGTTATGTTTCTTAATTTTTCTTGTTTGAGTGCATTGCCTGGTATCGTACATTAATTTACTCAGTGTGCCTGCGATGTCTGTGCGTGTGTGTGTGTGTGCGTGCATGCATGTGTGTGCATGTGTGTGTGTTAGAAAAGCATCTACTTTATTTTTTATCTATTCATGTTTATCTTCCCAGATTGATTTTATCTCTAGACGTTCAATTAAGTGCTTTGCATTCTTTGTAGGGCACACATGACGGTGCACTGGGGCTGAAGAAAAGCGATAGAAAATGATGGAAAACCTCTTGGTACCTGAGGACCAGGAAAGGTCCAACGTCAAGGCCTAGGTGGCCAGGACCGTGTGTGGAGCCAAGACCACAGCTGACCAGCAAGGGAGACGGGAAGTCCATTCGAGAGGATCTGTGATCCCCTCCCATGAAGCTGGAGCTATGGTCCCCTCCTGTTCTGGATAGCTTTAGTGTCAACTTGACACACCTGGGTTGAGGGAGCCTCAACTGGGGAATTGCCTCCATTGAACTGGCTGTGGCCATGTCTGTGGGACATCTTCTTGATGGTTGAGTGATGTGGGAGGGCCCAGCCCACTGTGGGTGGTGCCACCCCTGGGCAGGTGGGCCTGTGTTGCATAAGAAAGCAGGCTGAGCAGGGACCAGGCAGGTAGGCCTGTGTTGTATAAAGCAAGCAGGCTGAACAGGGACCAGGGGAGCAAGCCAGTAAGCAGCATTCCTCCATGGTCTGTGCGCCAGCTCCACCTCTAGGTCCTGCCCTGAGTTCCTGCCTTGGGATCCCTCAGTGATGAACTGTGACTCAGAGATGTAAGACAAATAAACCCTTTCCTCCCAAAGTTGGTATTGGTCAGAGCTTTTTGTCACCACAGTGGAGAAAGAAACTAGAACACCTCCCATGAAGTTGGAGCCATGGTCCTATGTCAGAGCCCAGAGCCAGAGCTGTGGTGTCACGTCCCGTGTCATCCCCCTCCCCCCTCGTGAACAATTCTTTGTCCTTCCTCACAGACAGAATCTGATGATGTCTGGCCTTCTGGGTCACACCTGTACCAGCATCCACTCCATGGATTTGAGTTGTTTTGTGTGTGT